ACGTCGTGCAACGAGACGATTGCGTGTGGATACCGATCTATGGCATTCAACATGATCCGCAGTACTACCCAGAGCCGAAAAAATTCAATCCCGAGAGATTCTACGACGATCCGAAACAGATGTCCAACTCTCTCTCGTTTCTCTCATTTGGGCTGGGCCCCAGGATGTGCATCGGCAACAGATTCGCCCTGTTGGAAGCGAAAGTTTTGCTTTTCTACGTTTTTGCAAAGTGTAATTTTTCACCGTGCGCCAAGTCCTCCGTACCGTTGAAACTGGACTCGAAAGGATTCGCCATGATACCGGAGAACGGCTTTTGGTTGAAAATCCAACCGAGAAACGCAAAGAAAACGGAGAAGGTTGCCATCCCAGGAACGGTCTTGCTCGAGAAGATTCCCGACAGACATCCCGACAACTAAGTTACGTTGCACCGTGCACGATGCTTGCAATATCCTTTGCTGCAACTTCTTCGTTCGTCTAGCGATATGTTTCTTCGTAGCGTAACGTTGAAACCGAGTCTGATGATCGATTTGCTTTAAATCTTTTTTACAATTAGTTGTAATTTGTTATAATGGGGTGTGATATATGTAAAATGTAATGCAGTTGCAATATATATTATTTGCAATATAGGGGTTTTATAGAACGAAATAAACAGGAAACGAGGAAAATTCGTTCTAGCACATAAAATGTACGATTTACGTATGTGCAAAGATGGCTGCCGTTAGAAACATGTCGGACATTTATTCAATTTTTTTAATTCAGTCAAAATGTACAAGTTACGAACGATTATATGTTGATCGACGTTTTCAAGAACAGTATGGGATTTATCTTTTTTCTTTTTTTGTTTTTTACTGACTTTATTTTGTTTGTTTCTTTGTTCCTTCAGGAAAATTGTTAATTCTCAGGATACTGTAATATTCAAACGATACTGTCGAAGAATTTCCTGTTAATTCCTATGATGCAGAGTCTATAGGAAATGGCCATAAATTTTGTGATCAACATGAAAAATATTTTCGTATTAAAATAACATAATAATCTTCTGTAAATTCTACTTTTACACGTTTTTACGAAGATTTAATATATTCTTTGTTACGAGAAATATGTATATTCGTTAAATGTAGTTTTGTTACAATTAAATAAACTTGGTATTCGAAATAAATATACTTACGTTGGGTTAAATTAAAAAAATAATCATATAATCATAATTTAATCCTCGTATCTAATTGATGTCGTTCCCAGAAAAAGATAACAACGTCTTGTATTTTTTTGAATTTCAAAAGTTTTGAAACAAACAACGATAATATCCGTCTACTTCTTTTTAACTGACAATGAGATATCTTTGCTGACACGCAGTAGAAATATGAGCACAATATGTTTTTACGATTATTCTTCCTGAATATTAACGATAAGAAAACTATTTTGTTGATCGGCTTTTTACTTACCCGTAAAATACTTTTCAATCTTTTCTAGTGATTTTTCTAATTTATTTGAGCAGTGATTTGTCCGCATGTATGGAATCTGTAGAAAAATTCCGATTTCGATGCTTTCTGAAGAATAGAAATGTAGAAATCAACATTTTTTCAAATCTTTTTCTGTATTAGTTTTCAGGAAGTTTGTAAAAAATTTTTGTTGCCGCCACTATTTTGAATTTTGCTTAGAATCGTGTGTCCATAGCAACGTGTACGTTAGTGTATATTCGGCAGCTGGATACGATATAACGTATCGTTTGTTTATATATAATTTATGTGTCATGCAAGCTGAACGTATCTGCTGTGCTTGGGAACACATCTGTCATAAATGGACAGAACTGGATGCGCTGTTAGTGGTGGCATTATGCGAATCATCTCGAAATAAGTCTTATATACGTCGGTCACACACGCGTACCGATGTGAAATATTTGTTTAAAATATTAATATTCATTAATAAAAGTTATCGAGATCGGATTTTTCTACTGATACAGATTTACTGATAAACCAACGAATGAAAGAATGAAAGAAAGAGAAAGGAAGTAGGAATTGGCAAAAAGTTCAAATTTCAAAGTTCAAAATTGAAAATACAAATTCAAGTTTTAATTTTTTAAATTTCAACTTTCAAATTCTAAATTTTAAATTCAAATTCAAACT